TTTTTTACTGTCGACCTTGTGGACTGAAGCCCAATGCACACTCACTACTCCACCAGGGCTCCATATGGCAGTTTTACCGTCCTCGAGGGTCCCAATAGTTAGAATCAACTCCACAACATCTTGGTTTTGGAAGTGGGTACTTTAGCTGGTAAAAAAGTTACATTTACCATGTACCTACTATATATATGATGGAGGCTTGATGGTGTAGTGGTTTATGTATTTGGCTGTGATGCACAAGGTCAGCAGTTCGAAGCCAACAGAAGTTCTACAGGAGAAAGATTGGGCTTTCAAGTTATAGCCTTAGGAGCTCAAAGGGGCAGTCAGCCCTGTCCTAAAGGGTCACTATGAGTCAGCATCAACTTAATGGCAGTGAATTTTTATATTTTATATGCTAGGAGCTCTGATAGTATAGTGGGCTATGCAGTGGGCTAACTACAGGGCTGGCAATTTAAACCCACCAGCTGCTCCACAGGAAAAAGATGAAACTTTTTGCTCCCATAAAGATTTAGTTTACAGCCTGGAAAAGCCACAGGGGCAGGTCTACTCTGCTCTAGAGGGTCACTATGCGAAGTATGGACTTGATGGCAGTGATTTTGGATTTTGACATTATATACTTATAATTTATATATCTCATCTAAGTCTTATAATAATTCTTTGAGACAACAATTCTGTATTTCCACTTTACAGATGAAAAACTTACAGTCCTAAAAATTTCAGTAATTAGCTTAGAGTCTATAGTTAGTAAATAGTAAAGCTAGAATTCAAACTCAATTCTGAATCTAAAACTCAAAACAGGTGTTTTAATTACTCGGTGAAACCAAAAAAGTGAATCAGAGCAACCTAAGTATGAAAAAAAACCCAAAACTCACTGCCCTTGAGTCGATGCCAACTCACAGTGACCCTATAGGACAGGGGAGAACTGCCCGGGTGAGTTTTCGAGATGGTAATTGTTAACAGGAGTAGGAAGTCCCGAGGTGTGGCTGGTGGTTTCAGAATGATAACCTTGTGCATCACAGCCCGTTGTGTAACCACTCCGCCTGCCACCAGGACTCCTTCAACACAGGTATAAGACATGAATTTTTTCCAGAAAAACTACTGTTCTCCTTAGTGAATCAAATGGTATACAGCATTAAAAAAAAAAAAAGTATTTGGTTACTGCC